AATTTATACTGGAAATTAACAAACAAGCAGATTCGTGAAGAAAAATAAAACTGAAAGTACCACAACAATGTTATTATCTATGTTGCTGCCTATCATATAAAGATTACGTGTACAAAGACTTGTATACACACACACGACATGAATGTATAAGACATCAAGGACTTCTTTCAACGTGGGAGATTCAATGAAAACCGATTAACACACAACTATGTTTCATGATTAATCGCAGAAAAAAATACTGTTGTGTGTGTGTTGTTGTTTGTTTATTTCTATCAATCTACACTTCAGTAGCAGTGTTTATTTCTTGTTTGAAGCACTTTTTTATTGTTGTAATTTTGCAGTACGTTTTCGGTGTTTGTACACAGTTTTAAAGCCAATAAAACATATTGTTTACATTTCATGGTTGAATCCTTTGTTTTGTGTAGTCATACTCATTCATATTTTCGTTACACTCAAACATCGCTTGAGCAACAATACTGGATCTACTGACTCAGTTACGTAATATATTCAACTTGATATACGTATATACAGCGCACACTTTACAGCAATTAAGTAATGAAAAATTATTTGGAACAAATCTTGGAATTCGATTTTTGATTTTTCTAGGATGATAGAGAAGAAACTCGTTGCACAATTGAAATGTATAACTGATCGGTTTTTTTTGTTTTTTTTCAAGTTTACCATGACCAAACAGTGACTTGCAGCTGCAGAAGTAAAGCGATAAATGTCTGAGAAACTTCAGGACGTATCCCAAAACTTCTGTGAAAGATCACTATTTTGCTGAATGTATGCGGCAGTCACGTGACTGTCATGTAGTCTAACAGTTCTAACAATATACAACGTAGGGTGTGTTATATGCGTAGCCAAGGCAACTACAACTGAGCGGGAACGTATAGAAATAAGTTAGTATATGCTGTAGATTCTACACCACAATGCACACACACACAAAGCCTTGCGACACAACACAGCCAAAGAGCTAATTTATTAAAAATACTTCTATTTGGTTAGATAAAACTTCGATGATTCCAATTTTTTGTTTCTTTGATAATATTTTTTTACACTTCCATTTGAAGGTCAGTTTTCTTTAACCTTTCGCCATATTGATCTATTTTTTATAGCTCACTAACTCTGCTAAGTCCATGACCCTTGACTAATTGCATCTTTTGTTAGAGACCAAAATCTCAACAGAATACCAAAGCGATACCAATAACTCTTACAATACTTACTGTTTAACATGCGATAACGTTGATTCCCTGGTTTTAATAATAATATGATTAGGCATTCCTTTCTTTGGGAACCTATCGCAAAATAAAGGGTTGAATAAAATTTTTTGTCATCAATTGGGTACAGGCTACGTTATCTCCCTTTCGGGGTATCTAATTACCGAAAGTATCCTTTGTAAACGCTTTTCAATCCTTTCCATGCATTTGATAAATTGTTTATTTAATTAAAAAATTAATTTATTCTTTTTTTTTTTTTTTCAGATATTTATTTATATGTTACATATAGAGCCAAAGCTATTAGCCCGTAGCGGCACCATATACAACTCTTGGGGTTACACTAACTAAAATCTGTAAAACTAAATAAATTTTATTCAGAACCACTAAATTTTCCCTAAATAATTTTTTTTTGTTTCCTTCTGATGTTTTTTTTTTTGCTTCTATTAGTTCCTTCTCAGTGATTTGACTGGCTCTCTCCATTTTTTGTTCAAATGTTATGCATAAAGCTACACAATGGACTATCTCTGCTGTGCTCACTGCGGGTATTGAACCTCAATTATTATCTTTATAAGACTTCAAGCTTATTACTTGTGTGGTAAACCCTTCGAAACACTTATAAATGTTTAACAAAATGTTTCAGTCCACCTACTAGATGGCGTAACTACTTGTTTTGTGAGTTGGATGTTCCAAAATTAATTATCAAAAACTTCTTATCAAGGTAAATATAAAGAACAGTTTAGACAGCTTGCGACCTCCTTCCTCTTTCTTGGTAATGTTTTACAGTAGTATAGTTCTTATGAGATAAACATTTGATGATTATTTTTTATAGTTCTTTTTCAAGTGTACCTCATGATAAGTTTGATGTAATAATGAGTAAACAATTAGTTAAGCCAATAAAGCTTTATATTGAAGCTGTTAAAAAGACTGCGATTAAGAACTAAGAGTTTCGATTTAGCGAGTGAGCTACTGATGATAATATATATGACTTTAGTGCATCATAATTGAAATCAGGACATAACATTGATTCTGGGGAGCTGAAATGATGCTAAAAGATAGCCAAGTTGATGTGTAGGTGATTTAAGTAAAAAACGTTACTTGGTTTCTATCAATACTAAAGAAGTGAAAATTGAGTAAGTAATTCTGATTGGTTTAAGAATCTTTAAGACAACGAGACAATTGATTTCATTCATTCGTTTGTTTGTATTTAAGTACAAAGCTACACAATGAGCTATCTGTGCTCTGCCCATCAAAGGTATCGAAACTCGGTTTTTAGCGTTGCAAGTCTGCAGACATACCGCTGTGCCACTGGGGGGCTCATTCGTTTATATTTCTAAATTAAATCACAAAGCTTTATTTGTATACAATATACAAGTCATCTGTTAAGTGAACACAAATTTCTGTCGAAGCCTAGTATGCATCAGTAAAATGCGTCCCAGATACAATCACGTTCACAAATCCTTCAAAAAGAGGAAAACTGATTAAAAAAGTACATAGGGCTAAGGACTATTTAAATATTCTCGTGAAATCAGGTAAATAAACGCTGAGGGTAGTAGGTGTGACAAAAGTTACAAGAAATAACATTTACTACCAAAAACGACGATCGCATTAGGTCTTGTTTTAGCGAAGTTTTAGGCAGAGCAGATGAAACTGGGTTTGAAGTTTTATAGCCTGCATCTATCTAAGATTAAGACCCAGCGTCCATTCCTACACGCAGGGGAAATGGAGGCCATAAAAATTCAGATCTATTACAATGATCATACAAATCATTTTCTTCAATTACGTTCTGAAAATATTGTTTCAACAAAAAAAGAACAAATAAGCACAGAGTTGTATGTAGAAATCCAACCACGGTTATAAAGAAACTACGGTATCATTTTGATATTATTATTATAAAACACATAATTATTACCTCCAAAAATTAAAAGTTTTTATGGAAGAGAAGTATAAAAAGGCGGTTGAGCAGTGACTAAATTATGTGATATAAGATGACATTTTTCTGATAAATAGTGGGTAGACATTCCAAAGGCACGAGACAGCAAATCATGAGCACACCTTTTACCTGGATATACTCCATTTTCCGT